TGCGTCCGCATCCACGGAGGAAAGATATTCGACGAGACGCGGATACGAATCGTGGATGGATCTGGATGGATGGATGGATTCGTTCGTGGATGGACGTCGATCGTATCTGTCGAAATTCATCCTGCGTTTTTTCCATGATTCGAACCGCCACCTGGCTTCGAAGGAAGAATAGAATACGCACTCGCCCTCCTCTCCGGGGATCTCCTCTATTATATCTCGTACTACCCGATGAACGCAAACATCCGACTATTAGAATCGAGATCCATTGTTTAAATCGTCTTACGGAATCATCGATCTCGACGTACGTCGAAAATACGCGAAAAAGACGGATACGACGATGGACGATGAATGAAACTAGCCAAGCTCGGGATATATTTATATCCGATACCCGTGGAAAATAGCGGAGGAAAGGTAGAAACTCTATAAAACGTATCGTTAAACTCTATAAAAGATCGTAAATCTAAAAAAGGAAAAAGTGTAAATTATCCGAGTAACTCTCCTCCCTCCCTCTCTCCCAATTGTATTATCCATCTCCTATCCAGAATAAATCCCTAATTAACCGCGTCTCGTCGTGGCGGCGGATTCTCGATTGTTTTCGCGGATGACCCACCGAAAACGGCGCGATAATTTTTGCGATCACTGCACCGAGGGCCCACCACCAGCCGGACACGGGCAGCTTGGCTGGTGAGAAGGAGAGAAAAAGAAAGAGAGAGAAAGAGAGAAAGAGAGAGAGACGCGTGAATAGAGTCGATTAAAGGGGGACGAAGAGAGAAGGAGGAGGGGAGGGCGAGTCACAAGCTCCCGGAAGGGAGAGAGGCGCGTATACGAATAGCGAATAAAAGAGAGAGAGAGAGAGAGGAAGACGGGAAGGAGCGTAGCCGGGGCGAGGAGACAACGGTGAAACAAAGAGGAAAAGAGCCGGAGGGTAATGGAGAAACGAAGCGAGAGAGAAAGAGTGTAATAGCGGGCGAGAGGGAGAGGGTGGAGGGTGGAGCGGGTGCGAGACGGAGGAAGGGAACGAGATGGATATATATATATATACATATACATATACATATATATATACGTAGAAGGGGATAGAGGTGGTGGCAGTGGTGGGAGGGGCGGG